GCCGCTGGGTGCCGAGCTTCCCGCCGCCACCGCCTCCTGCCAGAAAGGGCCTCTTCGACCCCTTTTGTTCGTGTCTCTGCGCCTCGCAGCAGCCCGAGAGCTTCCGCTCTGCTGCAAGGACAGCGACTGGTTATTTCTCCCCCCTCCCCAGGGTGCGGAGGATTTCCCCGACTGCTGCATCCTGATCCTCAGGCTTCTGCCTGCAGCCTTCCACGCGTCGGGAACGTCTCTAGTTTCTCTGGTTGTTGGAAGCATACTTACAAAACCCTCCTAACGAAAATTTGGTCACCGTCGGCCTGACCAAACCAACGTGTTTTTCCACTCGTAAAAATGAAAGGGGGCATCGATGTGCTACTGGACTAAAATTACTCTTGTCAGCCTCTGGCCGTGAGGCTTCTGTTTTCCTTCTACTTTGTAGTGCTGCATGCCAGTTCCAATTCCCTCATCTGTCAGAAAAGCGGTATCGGCAGCCTCTCTTGAGCTCTGTTACTGTAGCGTCCTTTCTGATATAATGCATTACAGTTTAACGCTATTAGTATATGCCGATACAGCGGGCATGAAATTCCTGTACTGCTCTTATTTTCTATTCAAAAAGCAAGCAGAACTGTCCAGAAACCGTTGAAGTTGGAAGCACTATTGGAAATTTTGTAGTTAGATACCTTTTTTGTTTCAGGATAGAGTTCAGAAAAGACAGTAAGTATATTGTAATGCTAAGTGTATATTTTCAAAAATGTAATGAAGAGTAAGCGTGTTACAATTTTACAGTGGAATGTTTTGCTACCGGTCAGATATGCTTTAGTACTTAAATATTTCTCCCTTCCATGAGCTGATGTTGGTTACACAGGATTCTGGAAAGAATTGGTGTTAACTGTGAGCATGGGAATAATAATCTTTCTTCCAGGACAATTCTTATATTTCACTTACATATATATAGCCCGTAATAGTTTTCTTGCCCTTCAGAATTTTGCATTCAGTTTTCCCAGTCAAGGTAACTAAACTCCGTATGGTTTTCTTTCATCATTCCGTGTGAATCACGCTTATATGAGAGTTGTGCTGGCGTTCCTCAGCGAGCATAGTTTTGAAGGTGTCGTTAGATGATAGTTAATTCAAGAAGAGCTTGTGGTTTAAAAAAATATTAAATGCTTCCTTTTAAAATTATTAACTACATTCATGGAAATGACTTAAATTTATTTTGCTTATGTGTATTCTCTTTGTAACATGATCTTTCTCTTCTCTGAATTATTTCAAATACCGTGTTGGCAGCAGTCTGCGTTACCCTTAGAGTCTAACTTTAAACAGGTGGTTTATAAAACATTAAGTAGGTGCAACTGTGTCAGCTTTAAAGCAGGTTATATTGCGTAGATTAGGGTGTTGCATGAACTAAGACACAACCATATATCTCATAGCTTAACTTTTCAGACTGTTTTTCACATTTTTTCCCATCCTGTCACCCAGTGAAACCGATCTAAAGACAAGAATGGAGAACCAGAAGGGTAAAACAGTAGTGATTGCTTCTGTCTGTGGTGGTGTCATGAATGCACTTTGGATTTGAGTAGCGGGTGAAATTGATAAGATGACTTGCTGTAAATTAGGGATAAAGAGGAATGGATATGAACAGGTTTGCTGTAAAGCTTTCCTATACTGTTTTGATTAATTTTTTTTTCTATGTTACTTCTCCACATCAAGATAAAGGCATTTAGGGCTTATGTTTTATAGGAATTGCATATTAATGTCTTTCTATTCCAATATGTAACTACCGTGGTGGTTTTTTTTTTACTTGCAGAGTCAACTGTTCGTTTTATTTCAAAATCGGAGCTTGTCGTCATGGAGACAGATGTTCTCGGTTGCACAACAAACCAACATTTAGCCAGGTTTGTTTTCCTTTTGTTTTATTTTTCTTGTGGAAGTATATTCTTGCTTCTTAAAATGTAGATTCTCAGATAACGTGAGATAGCAGATAAGTGAGTAATTACAGAGCTCCAGATTAACTAGTTCACTTTTGGCCCCAGTTTATGTGGGGTTTTGCTTTTTTTGGGGTATTCCATTTACTTCTCCCAGCATTTCTAATTATCTCCTGTCACCCTTAATGGCTGCAGGAAGCGATGCTGTTGTAAGCTTGCCTGTAGTAGAGACCAACCAGTGCTAACTTTCAGGTGAGTGTGCCTTCTCAGTGGTGTTTAGGCACTTAAACCATCCCAGATTTTTTTAAATCACAAACAGTGGCAGCATGTTCCACCTGTCTCAAAGGTGTGAACTTCAGTCCTTTATGCGTATAATAAAAGAAATTAATAAATAAAAAGGACTCTTCTGTTGTTATATTTGCTCTCTGACCCAGGCTCTTAAGTCTCGAGAGTAACTTACATAGTTGCTTTGAATGTGAAAGAATTGTTTCTTGAAAACAACTTGCCTGGTTGCTGAGGGTGTATATGTCACTTGACATATTATTTAATCTTTGGCTGTATGAATGTTTTTAGAGACATGATGTGTGACTGCACCACAAAAAAAAAAAGGTGCAGTGAGTGATAGGGTTTTTATTGTTATGAGCTCTCTAGTTTTCAGAAATTACATTCCTGGAGAACTGTATGCTTTGCCTTTTTCTATCACTGCTGATTGTCAAAGTATACAGGTAAATAGATTTCTTTGGGAGTATTTTATATGATAAGAAGTGCCTGTGGAAGTTGTTGCATTATCAGCAGTTTAATCTACAAAGGTAAAGTTTACTTAGCCGTGGAGTCCTCTGCAAGTTCATCTTAGCTGACTTGGAGCAGGATTGATGAGAATGGTGTTGGTTTGGGGTAGAATTTGGGTATAACTAGGGAGGCAGGTATTATTCACGTGACCACCAGAGCGATGGTGCTCATGAAGTTAAACTTTGTGAGTGCTTGAGTGGGCAGGGGGAGTTCTAGGGGGGACTGTCTAGGTTACTAATCAGTAGGGACCACTGCTGGTACTTCATCAATGATAAGTTTTCCCCTTCTGGGAATTTAATAATTTTTAATGTAAATCTTGTATCTCAAAAAGAATATTGTCCGTTTTCAAAGCTACTCTGTGTTGCTGACCTCCATGGAGACTGTGCTGAAATGTGATTGGTTTTTTAGAGACCTGAATTTAGGTTATTGGCTACTAGAAAATATTTATAAATTAGACAACTTCCACAGTAGTTGTCTTTAAGTTAAAAAACAAAAACAACCCAAAAACCAAACTACATCTTTTTTTACCAGAAAACCCAACTTCACGCACATCAGTGGTTTCCTCTGTCAGTGCGGTCTTTAGCTTCACTTTAGAAGCTGCGGATGGCAATGCCAGCTGAAGTGGGTCGGCGGGGCATGTCAGGTTCACCCAGCGGTGCCTGGGACAGCTGTGGCATCCCACCTGGCAGGCGTGCTGCATTGTAACATCTCAGAGGTACATGGCAGGTGTGTAGGGTTCACTACAGAAATCTTTATTTGTATGCAGATTGATAATCAGCTGTGATAGAAAATAGAACAGATATCTTGCTAATGGGAAGTTACTGGCACAATATTTTTATCTTGTGTTGCTATTGCTAGTGCAGCTACTCTGTAGAAGAGCTGTGTTACGAAAGGTCGTGCGATCCAGTGTGATCAAATTACCACCAATCAGCAGAAACACTGTAACTATCTGCATGTTTCTGGCTCTCTCCAATTGTAGGCTAAAACATAGTTATTTTAAACCTGGGCCATGGAAGCACAAAGCTTTGGTTGGTATGACCGTACCCATTATAAAACAAGTGCGTGATTTTTAAATGTGATGTTACAGGTTATCTTTTTTACATGTTAAGTGGGCAGCATATGTAGGTATGACATTGCTGGTCCTGTGACTTTTTTAAGCTCTGAATTCTTACTGTGACTAATAATAATGTGTAAGCTAAAATTATTTGGGGATTGCAATTCATACTAACTAACATTGAGCTGGTATTTTAAGTAATCAAATTTCAATTTTTGAGCTGCTTACAGTGATATGGACGTTTGGAATTTTTTTGTAATATTAGTTTACTAACTTAAACATGGTTTGTTTTTTCAGACAACTTGATTTTAAGAAGAACGGTACAAATGTAAGGTTTCAAGTCTGCCTGGGCTAATTCTTCAAGTAAAAAGCAGAAGGGCTAAAAGGAAATTGTCCTTATTTGAAGGATCGGAAACATGTGAACCTATGATGCTATTATATTATTTAAACAGAAATTCCACCAAGAAATTCCTGATGCACAAAATGAGACATAGCTCTTGCCTAAAATCCTTACTGTCTGGTGTAATGTTTTAGACTCTGTGGCATCATGTATTATATGCTGTGCA